CCTCCACCCTAAAACTTGCCTCTCCCATATGTCTGGTCTTCTGGTCTCAGTTAATGACACCAGCACTCACCAGTCATCGAAACCAGAAACTCTGCAGTGGCTCCGCAGGCTCACTGTTTCTCAGATGCAACACAGACCCACTTCTTTGTGGTGTCCACCTGAACCCCTCCACCCTGCCCCACAGTGGGACCTGGAGGCAAGGGGGACTGCTCATGTTGCCTGCTGTGCCATTCTCAAACCCTAGTCCCATTTCTTTACTTCATACTCACTGTCATCACAAAGTTGTGTACGTGTTCTTATGAACTCACCAGGAAAACAGTGAGCTCACCTGGTCAAAGACTTATGCTTCTAGTGCATCCTGCGCATCTCAGGACTTCCAGGTCTCTTTAAAGATTATAACGTCCAGTGAGTACTAAAAGCACAGGCTTTGACAGAAGGCTCCAAAATACTGGTTTCATAATCCTAGGAATGTTGATTAACCTCTCTGAAATTGCAGTAAATAGAAATTCTACTATTAGCTTTAGAAGTCTKGTTTGAAAAATAATGTCTAAAAAGCCTGAATTCAGCCAGGTGCTGTGGCAAATGTAGTGAGACTGTATCTCAAAAATAAAAAGGGCTGGGGATGTAGCTTAGTAGATCACTTGCTTAGCGCACATGAGGTCCTAGGTTCAATCTCCAGCATCTCCGGGGAAAAACACACACACACTGAACACTGTAGCTCACAAATAGAATACAAAGCTCTCCGGTCTAGAGGTGTAGCTCAATGATAGAGCACATGTTTAACATGTAAGAAGCCCTGGGTTCAAGGCCCAGCAGAGGAGGAGAACAGAAAGATCTCAAGAAAGCAGCTCCTGGGGCCCTCCCCCCTACCACACACCCAGGCAACATACAGGCTTCCTCCTTGAAGTCTAMCCAAAATTCTCTCCCCTGGGGAAATCTTCCCTAGTCACCAGGCCTTAGAGATCTCTCGGTCTTCTAAATTCCTATACTTACCTATACTCACCTGCACTTAATAACTGGCAGTCTATTATAGTTGTTTACCCTTTAATCTTATCTTTTCATGTGACAGTCATTTTCTCATGGGCATGAACCATAAAACAAACTAAGAAACTGAATATGACAATAGTAGGCAATACCAAAAAGTTTTTAGGAAATAAAATCCCCCTACCAAAACAGCTTCATTTTCCATGTTTCTAGCTCTGGCCCCTCCTGTACATACTTGTACATGGTGACAGCCACCCCAGTAGATTCACTCAGTTACAGGTGTGCTTCCATCGATGAGTATTCCTTGTTAAGTGGGTGTGATCATCATCACCTCTAATAGCTATCACAATTCCTCCACTGCTACTAGATCATGATTTACTGAAGCACTGACTCTATTAGACATGATTACATACTTCTCTGTGTCTTTTATTACATCAAGTATAGCAAAACACAAAGTAAACTTGTTTGAAATACCCACTGAAATAAATTTATTGCCCATGTTCCCTAACGTCTGAAACAATCCATTTCACTTTTTCTTTCTGGCTCAATTTCTAGAGCAATTTCAGTTTCACTCACTTATACAAATATATTTTCCAAACATTTTTTATATAATTTACTTTGGAAGTCAGTCTTACATATATTAAAACAAGAGCAATCCCTTGATTGAAGGGCACTTTAATACCAGCTAGAAACCTGAGAGGAACTCAATAAATGCTCACTTACCTATTAAATATTTTTTAAACCACCTGAAGTTACAAACTGTCAAATTCCTGGAAGGTATCACTCATCTAATAATGTCAATTATGCTTGTAAAACTTTCAGCTCATTTAATGATTAGACTGGTTAATAACATTGGACAGGTGTTCTGTATGGTACAGGAAAGCACAAGATTGTCTGTTGAGCTGCACAGTCTCAAAGACAACATTCGAAGACAAACAATACCTGAAAATAGAACTTCAAGATCTTGTGACAAAAGAAGGTTACCCCTTTTCTTTAGCTGTTTAGCTTCAGGTTTCAGATGAGTTGAAATGTTCAAACTATGTCAAATCACATATACATGTGAGCACAAACTGGGGGAAATAAGAAAAGCTGTTAGGATAGAGGGGAATTATTTTTCTATTTTGTGTTTTGTTAGTATAATTTTAGACTGCATAACTAGAAAAATATTCTTGACAAATTAGCCATTACAACTCTTGCTATTATTGAATTAGGGCTTAATGCTTAACATTCAGGTAACTTAAGTTTTCCAAACCCACATACTGTTTAGCAGGAAGGCTGAAGCTCTTACTTCCATGAAAAATGTTAAATAAGCCAACCCACCACCTCAGGACTCAAAACACCAGCACTGGGTCAACACTGAATCACAGGAAGAACTTAAAAGGATGTACCAAAGGTTTCTGGAAATCTTCAAACTTTCCTCAAAAGATAGCTAACGTGATTCCAAGTATCAGAGCAAAACCATGTCAGTGACCCACTCTCATCCCTGTCCTCACTAGGATTTCTCAGGCTGCTTCCTGCATTTATATGCCATATATGCCATGACAGAAACAACCAGGACTTCAGGGGACATTATGCCATAATTATATCCTATCACTTAATACATTAATTTTCCCAAAAGTAAAAACTTTTCAAAGTAATATGACTCTTTCAAAATTATTAGAAAGGAATAATTTATTTTCGCTTTTTTATATGAACTCTAGACACCAATTTTTAAAAAATCACTGGCTTTAAGATTCTACATTGCATTCGACGATAACCTTTAAATTTATGCAATTACTTCATGAAAAAATAGGAAAAGAACCACACTTAATCATCTGTGAGAATCACTGAAAAGAAGTTCATGTGCATCAGGAAAGATAAGGCTAGGTAAGACAGGATAAAGGAATTGAGAGGGGCAGATCACCATAAATAATGTACTTCTATTTATAGAGCCATGGAACCTATGTGTAAACACTTAATTTTAAAATCACTTCAACCAAAGAAACAACTAACTCCTGTCCCACAGCTAAAATTATTCTATGTATTCCTCAAAACTCAGACACTGAGCCAGGCCTAGTGGCACATGCCTATAGTTCCCAGTGACTCAGGAGGATCCCAAGTTCAAGGCCTCTACAACTTAGGGAGACCCTATTTCAAAATAAAAAATAAAAAGGGCTAGGGATATAGCTCAATGGTAGAGCACACTGGATTTAATCTCCAGTACACCAAAAAAAAAAAAAAAAAAAAAATCTCGGGCTGGGGTTGTGGCTCAGCCTAGCACATGCGGAGTCCTGGGTTCAATCCTCAGCACCACATAAAAGTAAATAAAATAAAGGTATTGTGTCCAATTACAAGTAAAAAATTTTTAAAAATCAGATGGAACCATCATTACAACTTACTCATGACAATTTAAAAATAAAAAGAATAGTAACTCCCCTCAAAAAGTGAAACTATTTTGGGGAAGACAGTGGGGGAGAGAGAAGGGCTCTAAATATGGAGCTAAGTTCTTTTGTGGTGGTTAGTTGCCTCTTTTCTAGCAGTGACATTTCCAAGTTGGTGGTTTTTTTGGGTTTTGGGGTTGTTCGTTCTCTCTCTCTCTCTCTCTCTCTCTCTCAAAAAAAAAGGAAATTTCAAGAATGTGCTAAAACCACCTTTTCAAAATCAATTCCCACATAAATGATATTTCATTTGGCTTGGGATTTTTTTCTTCTTAATCATTGTGATGATTAAAAAAACTTCAAGTGAACTAAAATAAAGACGCCTGAATATGTAAAAAGAAGATTTGGAAAACTTTCAGAGTTCCATCAAAGTTATTTCATTTTGCCAGGGCTAGGACTTTGGGAGGTGGAAAGACAACAGACCATGCAGTAGCTGAGACTCTGAGGCAATTGAATCCTAGGGGGAAACTCAGGTGATAGCCTTAAGCAACCCTAGCAGGGACAGGGGGACGAACCAATTTCAAGACAGAAACCAACTTTCAACAAACAGAAGGACAAACCAACAAAGTCAACTGACTGATCTGTGTATCTCAATACACAGGAAAGACCAAAGAGAAGGGAAAACAGCTTAAACTTTCTGTGTAGAATAAAACGCTCGATTTTGAACACAGAAGTTGTTTTTTAAAAAGGGCTTGGAAAATGATTCTGGTGCTTGGAAATGATCCTGATTCATCAAGAGTCTTATCAATGGCAAAGTCATCTCCTGGAACTGAAACAGTGATCCCAGTAACAAGACCTTTCTTTTATAAAGTGTTTTCAAACATATCATCTCATTTAAAGGAACCTGCCCAGCCAGGCTGCTGGTGAAGTATAAAGGCAAGACCCAGCCCACCCCCTCTCCTGACTTGAAGCTGGGCTTCATTCACTTCACTGGAACGTCACRGGACATGTAAGTGTGCTCGGTTTATCTGCCTTCTCTCCCCTCCCTACAGGACTTAGGAGAAAGTCTCAARGATACAATTTCACAAGAATCTTGGCACCCCAACTATTTATTGTTGAGAGATGACGGGTAGGACTTCAAGCAAAAGCAGAAACTGCTCAACCGTCCCAACACCGAGAAAGGCACCCCTCGACCCCAGCCCGAGGCACGGCACCGGGCAGCTCCGCCGGAGCGCGCCGGTTCAGCACCGAGGTGGGGAGGCGCCGGGCAGCGCCGGGAGCCCTCCGGGGGAGTCCGCGCACTCTCGGCGCCGTCCCCCGCCGCGGCCGAGGGGTGCGGGCTGCCCGGGGCGCGGGGCGGGCCGGGGGCGCGGGCGCGGTGACAGCTGGCGGGGCGCGGGCGGGCGCGGGGCCGCGGGGAGGCAGAGGGCGAAAGGGCGCCGGGCGGGGCGCGTGGGCGGAAGGGGCAGCCGGAGCGCGGCGGGCCGGGGTGCGGGGCCCCGCGGCGAGCGCGGGCCCGGGAGGGACGTCCCGCAGCAGCGGGCGCCGGGCGCGGGGCCCCGCGGAGCGCGCCCGCCGCCGACCCCAGGGGCGGGCGGACCCCCCACGGCGGCCCGGCTCGGGTGCGCCGGGCACCTGCCGCCCGCGCGGGGCTCTCACCTCGTCGGTTCATGGGCCGGACCCTCACCGCCACTTTCACTTTGGAGTCGCCCATCCTGCCGCCGCCGGGCTCTCGCTCGGCTTCCGTCTGCCGAGGCCACCGGGCAASTCTTCGGGGCTGACCCGGCGGGAGGGGGCCGCGGGGGCGGGGCGGGGCGGGGCCTGAGGCGGGGCGGGGCCTGAAGGGGCGTGGCCGCGCGAGACCGGCGCGCCCCGCGGCATGCCGGGACCTGTAGTGCCCGCGGACGGGGCTGGCCCGCGGCCGCGCGTGGCTTGCTGGAGTCCGTCAGCGAGCTTCTGAGACCGCGATCCCATTCCTCATGGTGCTTCTCCTCGCAGTTGGGATTGAGTCGTGGGCGGTCGACGAGCCAGTCCCTCGCCGGGAAACGAACGGCCGAATGGACGGTGTTGGAGACCCTGCTACTTAACCTCTTCCTGCGTAACTTCCACACTGGCTCACTCCTGTGCTTGAACTGGCCTCCCGGCCTCCTTTGCAGAACTAGGCTAGTGAAGTGCTACTGTCCTTAGGTCTGCAGGTGATGGCTCTCCTTCCTATCAAGGTCTTGAGCCTGGACCTTGAGCTTTCTTCCTACTGAGACCTTGATCCGTGGAAGCAATCTGAATTCAAATTTCCCAATTGTGTGACCTTGGACAAGATATTTGACTGCTCAGTGCTTGACTTTTCATATGTAAGATGGAGGCAATAGAAGTACTTCCTAAAATAGGCACATTTAAGGCCAAACGGTTTACTTATATATGTAACCTAGCCTATAGTATAGACTCAGTGAACACTTACTGCGTGAATGGGTGAACGAAGCAAAACAAACAGCCCTTTATGTGCCCATGCAGAGATTAACCGGTGGCCTATGGGCCAGATCTAGCCTACAAACACAAATTATTTGGCCTAACCCTATTGGCCAACATGTAAAAATCAGATTTGAGTATGTAGTACTGGGCCTGCACTACATATTGGAATACAGAGTTGAGACTGAAAAACAGCAACCAACTTTTATTATAAGAGGCAAGTGCCCCCAGTTCACCATCGTCCCCTCCAGTCTGCCTCCCCACTGTGTTCCAGGATCCTGCGAGGTTGTGACCCCTTCTTAGGTGTGTTTAAGGGATAGTACATATCTCAAAATAGCTCAACTATTTTGCAGGTGAGTGAATACAGAAAGCTGGTAAGACTTGCACTTCTACCAACAATCCTGTTGTTGAAAGACCTTCAATACAGCAGAGCCATTATAAAAGGTTAAAAACAGTTGTAAAAGGGAAGAAATTCTGAGCCAGGTATGGTGGCACACATCTGAAATCTCAGCTGCTCAGGAGGCTGAGGCAAGAGCATCACACATTCAAGGCCAGCTTTGGCAACTTGGGAAGGGAGGCCCCATCTCAAAATTGTTTTAAAAAATAAATAAGGCTAGGGATGTAGTAAAATGTCTCTGGAGTCAATCCAAAGTAGAAATTCTAGCCACACTGCAGCATGGATGGATCTTGAAGACACATGCTACCTGAAATGAGCCAGTCACAATAGAAGGCTATGTGATGGGTGATTCCATTCATATGAGGTCCCTAGGATAGTCAAATTCGTAGAGACAGAAAGTGAAATAGGCAAGGCCAGTAGGTGGGGGAGGGGAAATAGGGAGTTGGTGTTTAATGGGTATCAGATGTCAGTTGGGGGAGATGAAAGTTGGGGAGATGGAGGATGGTAATGATTGGCAATATGGATGTACTTAGTGCTACTGAACTGTGCAATTAGGAATGTTTAAAGTGTTAGGGGTATAGCTCAGTGACAGAGTGCTTGCTCAGCATGTGTGAGGGCTGAAAGGCCCTCTATAAAGAAAGGAAATTTGTTTCTTAGGAGCACCTCCTCTGAGCTGAAGGAGGGCCTCCTCAGCTGGAGCAGAAGCAGGTTTAATGTAGAGCCCTTTGATTTTTCACAGCCCAAGAAAGTAAATAAATAACATCAAGAAAATCAATTTAGGGGCTGGGCTGTGGCTCAGTGGTAGAGCACTTGTCTAGCACTTGTGAGGCACTGGGTTCAATACTCAGCACCACATTATGTCCACCTACAACTAAGAAAATATTAAAAGATGAAAAGAAAGAAAATCAATTTAGGATTGCTAGGGCCAGGCGTGCAGCTTGGTGATGGGGTGCTTGTCTAACATGTGCAACACCCTGGTTTCTGTCTCCAGCACCACAGAAAAATTAAAAATAAATTTTAAAAATTATAAAACTGCCAGCTTCTTAATTTTACCAAGTAAATTCTTTTTTCTTTCAACATTTTTTTATTGGCGATTATAGTTGTACATCATGATAGAATTTGTCACATATTGGTACAAGCATATAATATAACAATATTATTTGGCCAATATTACTCCTCAGTACTTCCCCCCTCCCAAGTAAATTCTTTTTAAAAATAAATAAATGGCTGGGGATCTAGCTCAGTGGAAAGAGTGCTTGCCTCCCATGCACAAGGCCTTGGGTTCAATCTCCAGCACTACAAAAAAATAAAAAATAAATAAATGTACACAATTGCTATCTATTAGCTCTATAATTCCTTTTTATAAAATAAAAAAGGTCATTCTTTGAGTGCATATTGAAATCCTTTGGCTTGATGGAAAAAAAAAACCTCACTCCTGTCCTTTTGCTCTTACTGAACATTGGACCAGAGTTGGGCAGTCTGGTGTTAAAACATATTTGCTAATTACTACCTCCCCACTTTCTGGCTATAACAAATAAGGTTTGGAATGTGCTAAGTTCCATTCTTCACATTATGTCTTTTATGACCCAGCAAGTTTTGTTTTGAAATAGCATATCCTCCTGCTAGCTTGAATCTAGCTTTTTAAACAGAGGCAAAGTGGGCAGAAAAAGAACAGGCTAAGCAGTTTCTATGGGAACATTGTATTTAAGCTGAAACTTTAGAGAAGAGAAAGCCCCTGAGGAGCTGAAGAGGGGTGGGATATAATAGCCAGGAGATGAGGACTTTCTCTAAAGTTCCAAACCTGTCTAAATTGGTCTGGAAACATTTGACTAGAAGAAAATGATAGTAGGTTTCCTAGGGCCAGCAGGGAAAACCCCTGTGGGTATTCTCCCTCTCCACTTACTACCGCCCTGTCTCCTTTGGCTTCTGCATCGAAAGTGGAGAAAGGATTCTTGGAGCCCTGGAAAATCTTCCAGCAACAGGTGAGAGAGAAGGGACTGTGCTTCAAGTGGCCACCTGCAGCACTTGTGTCAGGTGTGTCCACGCCCAGTGAAACAAACAGCAGCTGCCTGGGCTTGGCCATCTGCAAGGAGCAGCAAGAGTCCTGGTTTCTCTCTTGTCCATCATTAGGGGAGGCCCTAGTTCCTAAAGGTTTCACAGCCTCCCAGTAGGGCCTCAGGCTGGGGACCAGGCCTTAAGCCAGGTGCAGCAGCGCACACCAGTAATCATTAGGGGGAAAAGAAAAAGAAGGAACAAGGAAGGGGCTCCCTTCTTTTGTTTTGTGAATCAACAGCTACATTCAGTGTAGATACTACGAACTGTGTGTGTGTAGATCTGTTGGACATGAGCTGTTAACTGTGTCTAGAAGGAGTTTCTCGATTTTTTTCCYCCTGACATTTTGCAAATCTACTCATTCTGAAACTGACTCCTAGTTTACTTTTTCGGGGTTGATCCACCCACTCCACAGCTTCTGATGGTTTCTTCAGAGACAAAGAAAGGCCTGGTGCCTCTTCTTTTTATAGTCATCACTTAACCTGACGATGTTAGCTAACATACATTGAGCACCTACTACAAGCCAGACAGTCCTAAGCACTTTTCATATACGACCCCATTTACTCTTCATACCAACTCTGTGAAGCACCTGCTATCATTTTCCCTATTTTACAGCTTATTGGAGGGGCAATTGACTGCAGGAACTACTGGAGTAGTGATCTGACTTCCCCACCCTACAACCCTGCAATACGGACAAGTGCGCCTGCAGGTTCTTCAGTCCACAGGAATATGAAAGACCTCTTGCTCACCATGCTGCTTTCAAAATAGTTTCTAAAATCCCCTTTTTGGAAAAAGTAGAACAGTATACTAAGTTCTAGTTTTGTTTTTGTTTTGTTTGKTTTTGGTCTTTAAAAAGGAAGGGATGGGTGAAGAGGCTTCCTCTGTCATGTGCTCCCACCATGAGTTACTGTGTCACCAGAGGCCCAAAGCAATAGGCACAAGTGACCATAGTCTGTAACCTCTGAAACCATGAGCCCAGGTAAACTTTTGTCCTCAGAAGCTGATCATCTCGGGTCCTCTAYGGTGGTGGGAGGCCACACATACAGTGGTTCAAGGATTCCCAGGACGTGAGTGGTGCAGCCAACATAGTCAAGGGGAGGTTGAGCCTGGAGACGGAAGAAACTGAGCTCCCAAGTGAGGAAAGGTGAGGCGAGGAACGAGGCTTAAGGACGGCGTGCTGGCGCTTGGGCGTAGGAGAGGGAGATAGGGATGAAGAGGCTGAGGTTGCAGGTTACGGATGAGAGTTAGCATGGTTGGTTTCCTGGTGGAGCAGTCTTAAGTCATGGCAAAGTCCAGGGGTGGTGCTGCCAGCACGTGGTTGACAAAGGAGTGCCAACACAGACTATGGACCCAGCAGAAGACCACAGGCGACAGGAAGAGGCCTGTGGAGCAGTGGAGATGGTCCGATAGCCTGGCACACAGGGGATCCTGGAATTGACATGCAGGTCCCTTTTACCCAGGCCAGGGTGCAGATAATGTGCCTGAGTCTCGTGGGACTGTGGTGAAAATTAAATGAGCTCAAGTGTGTGGAGTACTGAGCACGTGCCTAGTGAGCGGGACACTCAGTCTATAGCAGCTAAACAGCTGTGACTGCTATGAGTGAGGTCTGAGATCCCACCAGGAACTCAGAGTGTAGCAGAGAATGCAAACATGAAAGGCAGGTAGCCGTCCAGAGATGGCCTTCTTTGTGGAAAGAGCACAGATTTTTGGAATCAAACAAATTTATGCTTGTATCCCAGCTCTGCCACTTACAGCTGTGTTACTTGAGTTCAGCAAGCCGTTTGATATGACTGAGGTCAATGATGATGCTGCCTTGCTCAAATTTTCATTCCCTAAAATGTGTTGAGGACCTAGTC